GGGCGGGGGAAGAGGAACAACTGTAATAATCTGAACAATAATGATTTAATTAAAAAACAAAAAAATGACTATAATCATTAGTCTTCTGTCTTGCCATAGATTTTTTATTTTCTCATGCAATTATGCGAGTTCCCCCTGTGCTTCAGGGATTAATCAGGAATGTGAATAATCATGGTGAGAGCTGTTGGGGTTTTGAATGAGTGTGCCATTGGATATATGAGACTTTAAATTCTTAAAAAATGCAAAAGAATAACACTTGATGGACATTCAATAAGAAATGACTAGGTGTCAGGACCTACACACCAGAAAGTTAAGAACAGATTTTTACATAGAGATTTTGTAGAAGATTTGTACCAAAACAACTTTAAAGGCCAAGTCCCAAGAGGGATCAATATAATTCTAACAATGATTATATTTCCTGAACTTACTCTCCAGCTGAATAGTCTGTTTAACTCAGTAAGTCCAAACCTGCCAAGTCAGGTTTGTACATTCTTTGGAATTATGTTCATACTTTCAATAAGGTTTTTATTTGTCCCCATATAAAAACTTGTGTATGCCTTTAATATAAAATAAGATTTCTCTTAAAGAGTTGAATATCAGGTATACTATGATTGTACAATAAAATACAATAACCTACGAATAAGTAATGCCAGAGAAAAACATTTGCAGTAACATAATTGGCAGAGAAGAAAAGGTTTTCAGAAGTCAAACTGAGAACATTGTACAAAAAGCAATAATTTTGAAGTGAAATTACATTTTCAAGCTCATTTGCCTAATCAATATGAAATAAAATTTCAAGCCAAAGGTTTATCCTTCCGTATTGAGAGCCTAAAAGTTGTTTAAACCATTCCATAGACTCACTTTTGCCTTCCATGTATTAGTTTTTTGGGTTTTGTGTTTGTCGTTTCTTAGAAATAAGCTATGTTAAGTCCTAAGAGCACTCCAGCCATCCTAGGGACAGAAGTGTGCAACAATGCCACATATGGTTCATTTAGGTGGTACTATATTCCTTGATCTCAGACTTCAGATTTAACAATGTGACATAGAAACTTGTAACAAGAAAAAATAGTTTTATATCAAAAAGCAATACTTTAAACAATAAAATAAAATAAAAAACATATATTAAATAAAAATAAAAACAGGACATGGATGTAAAAGTAACCAATGGGAGAAAGAGTACCCATGAGCCACAGAAATAGGCACATGTTTTCCAAATATGCTTAACTAACTCCCATCAGTATAAACCTCCCAACTAATGGAATTAAGGCTAATATGAACCTTACCAAGATGATAAGAAGGAATGGGACTCTGACAATAATTCTAAATTTACCAGCATATTGTGGGTTATCCTATCTAATAAAGAGGGAATATGATAACTGATCCAAACACCCTCACAAAGATGGTGGTGCCCACAGCCAATAAGGAGGGCAAATGCTAATTTATTGTCACACCCTCAAAGATGGAGATGCCCACAGCCAATAGGAGGGAGTATGCTAACTGACTGCCACGCCCTCAAAGATGGCAGTGCCCACAGCCACAAGATAGCCGGCAGAGGAGGGCAGTTGGGGTTGACCAGGCCGGCAGGGGAGGGCAGTTGGGGAGGAATATGCTAACTGATCCAAACACCCTCACAAAGATGGTGGCGCCCACAGCCAATAAGGAGGGCATATGCTAATTGACTGTCATGCCCTCAAAGATGGAGACGCCCACAGCCAATAGGAGGGAGTATGCTGACTTCCACGCCCTTAAAGATGACAGTGCCCACAGCCACAAGATGGCCGGCAGAGGAGGGCAGTTGGGGGTGACCAGGCCTGCAGGGGAGGGCAGTTGGGGGTGACTGGGCTGGCAGGGGAGGGCAGTTGGGGGTGAGTGGGCCGGCAGGGGAGGGCAGTTGGGGATGATCGGGCTGGCAGGGGAGGGCAGTTGAGGACGATTAGGCCGGCAGGGGAGCAGTTAGGTGTCAATCATGTTGGCAGGATAGTGGTTAGGGTACGATCAGGCAGGCAGGCAGAAGCAGTTAGGGGCAATCAGGCAGGCAGGCAGGTGAGTGGTTGGGAGCCAGCAGTCCCAGATTGTGAGAGGGATGTGCCCCGAGGGATCCCAGATTGGAGAGGGTGCAGGCTGGGCTGAGGGACACTCCCCCCAGTGCATGAATTTCGTACACCGGACCTCTAGTTTATATTATAAAAACCCAGTGGCCCTAACACCAAAATAACGACCAAAGACCAGCACAGGTGAGCAGGGCTGCGAGCATGACAAGGCTGCGCAGGTGGGCAAGGCCACGTGATTTCGCACCTGGGCTTCTAGTTATAAATAAGGTTAATACTTGGTTACATTTGTCTTTTGATGGAGTATAACTTCAACAAACTATGTGTTGGCCCTCCTAAAGACAGTGGATAAATAATATTTGTTTAAATATATATGATGTCTCTAATACTGGAATAAAGACAGCACTAAAATAATTGGTGTTTGAATTATTTATGAGCTTTAAATTGCAAAATGTTGTGTTAAAATAAAATAGTAAAATTAAAAAAAAAAAGCAATACAGTTAGATACAGTCTCCTAAAATAAGTTATCCTTTACTCTAATTTCAAATAAGGCAAGAATTCATCTGAAGATAAAATTTTATATTTGGAACTTTCTACTATTTCTATATTTTCTACTGAGGCAAAATTTAGCTCACTTGTTTTGAGTGAACTTGATGTGCTCCATTAGTTGCCCCTTTAATATAATCTTAGTTGACAACAAATTGTTATTGGTTTTAGAAAAATTCTGATTTATTTAAAGATGCTTAAGAATGGAACTGATATAAAGAAACTGTTGTATTCAGATATTATATTTAGCTTGCATGTATACATGCAATTATACCTGAACAAATAGTAACTATTCCTAAGTGTAATGTATTTGCATATTGACAAAGAGAAACCACACTCCTGTTGTTCCAAAGATAAAAGCAAGCAAAAACCAGAGAGGATAGGTAATAAGTAAATTATTATGGAAAGCTGATAGAGCAGCAAGGTGAAGAACATGAAGGGAATTTTGAGGTAAATAAGAAAGAAGGGCTTTTTATGTATTTCTAGAAAGGCACCATTTGTTCAGTTACAGATGTCTTAGAGATGATAAGAAAGGTAATCTGAATGATTTTTGTGCTACATGTTTTTACATATCTAGTAAAGTTTATATGGCATGTTACATTACAATATAGTTTTTTATTAAATACTAGAGGCCCGGTGCACAAAAATTTGTGCACTCGGGGGGC